AAATCAAGGGTTGGTAAGCTAGTGAGTAGTACATAAAATTAGTTTTGTCTTGTCTTTAGTTCAATCATTTTAGGATGAAGAATATTTTCAAAAAGGAAATACATTAAATACTAATTTTGGACTCACGGAAAATAAATTTTAGATTCAAAATTTGAGGTGATAATTTTTGTTTTTAACATCAATTTTTTTTCTTTTATTATAAAAAAGTCTTTCTCTTATCCCTTGTTATTTTCTTTTAGTCTTCCTTGTTTTGTCTTCGTTTTATACAAATCCATATTTTTCACAATTTGTTTTTGATAAAAAATCCCGGCCAGTCATTTACAATCTCATTTCCATTGCAACCTTGATTAATTACGCACATCAAATGTTATTCTAAATGATTTAAAATCTTAGGTTATAATTTTTTTTTTAATTTCCATTTCTATTTATACCGGTCAGAAAATGAATGCGACTGTTCGCCCTAACGCTCCCAGACGACGTTTTCGAGGAGCTTTTCACCCACCGGCGAGCTTTATCATTCTTGTAACTTCCGTCGGCCATTGCCACCGACGAGACCTTCCGAGCAAACTATGCCTTGGCAACCTCCGTCACTCTCTGTCGGCATCCATAGATTCCGACGAGACATTGGAGTCTGACGAGAACTTCGAGAGATTTGACCGCACTTTGTGTCGTCTGATTCCAGATCTGCATAAGCTGCTCTTTAGCAATCAAAGCCAAAGCTTCCCATCAGACTCACTGCCTCTAAAGGGCCGGAGATCTCGCTCACATCCTCGTGCACTCTCATCTCGTCTAAAGTTGGTCCCTCTGATTCTTTTGAACTTTGTGCCGTCGGTCAATGCAGGGGATCCGACACAGGTTTCGAATCTGCTCGGACCACAACCCTCTCGTAGTGATTTTGTCGAGCGGATGCATCTCCTATCACCCACCTTGGTCCACTCGCCGGACCGTCTCCTCATCCTCACCGTCACTTCGCCTTCATCTCAGTCTACGGCTTCAAATACTGCTCCGTCGATGGCGAGAGATCGTGTCGCTGATGAACCGCCGCCCTCTCCACAGACTTTCCTCTGGTGCTGTCATATCTATACCACCAGAAGGGAACAAGGGCAGCGACTCTCGTGGGAGAAGCACTTCAACAGAAGCTCCGACAATTGGATGAGCAGGTTCAGCCGCGAATACCGACCGGATCTCTTGCACACCGTCGCGACCACCATCGGAGATCTCGCATCTCGTCGAGTTCTCTCCATCTCGAGAAGAAGCATGACTTCTGGGCTTGGCCCATTTCGAATGTGTTACCAAGGAACCCATTAGGCCCACTGGGATATAAAGCTGTGGGTGTGGCCCAATATAGGTGTTAGGCTGTGAACTTAACTTATCCTGGCTCATTAGCCAGCCCAACCCAAACAGGTAATTGTTATGTGTGGCTAAGATCAAGATCGTACCGGAAATTCTCTCCGGTATTTGACGATGTCTCCGGCACACCGCCGCCTCATTCTCCGATGTTGCTTATAAAGTATATCCGATGCTCAGATTCACAGTTAATCTCAACCACTCTTTGTGATGGGTTGACAAATTTGGGTAGATCTTTAATGGGTGGTTCATTATCGGGTCCGATAACCGTGTTTTCAAAACGCAGTTTTTCAAAAATCTTATATGCTTTTGAGCTCGTTTGCTTCTCCTCCTTGAGAAGTACAAAGTTTTCTGAATTCTTAAATCCTGTAGTTTTTAGTGATTATATCTCTTCTACTGTGAGAAGACAAAAGTTTTCTGGATTCTCAAACATTGTAATCTACTCCTGGTGGACGAGTCCAACTGCACCTTTTCCTAGCTCTTTGAGACTGGTCGAATCTTCTTCACTCTCTTGGAGAGTGGTCGAATCTCCAAGCTCTATGTTGGGATCTACAAAGTCACACTGGAAAGTGACCAACTTTGAGACTCTCCGGCATTGCCGCGAAGACTTTCTTGACGCATTTGAGGCATGCTTTGGATTCACTGTCCATCTTCTGCGATGATCTTTCTATCATATGTTTTATTGCTTTATGTGTAGTAAATCTGGAAGATGCTTAATTCTCTTTTTTTAAATTTTGATCGGTTAAATGAATGAAGTAAACTTGTTGAAAAAAAAAAAAACTTATATCGGTCAGGTTTTAGGCCTTATATATATGCCATAAAGATTTTAAATCATTATTCACACATGTAATAAACAAACTTTAAACAAAAAAAACATGAAAAATTACTCAAATCCCATGGAACTATGCGAATATGACTAGAATACCATATATCTTT